GCATCAATGGGCTCAAGCATGGCAACAATAGTGAGGTTGGTCCAGGATTAGGCAGTGTTTTGTTCTGCTGTGCATAGGGTGGCTATGAGTCGGTAATGACTCGATGGCACTTAACAACAAAAACAATAATAGATACAAAGTCCTGGTGTGGCACTGTGGGTTAATGCCCCAGCCTGCAAAGCTGTTTGAACTGCAAGGTTGGTGGTTCAAGCTCACTAGTTGCTCCTCGGAAACCCTATCCAAGGTCGCTATGGGTCGGAACCGACTCGATGGGACATAACAACCACACAGCATAGCTACAGGACTGTGTATGTGTATATATATATATATATGGAGTCCTGACGTGGTACTGTGTGTTAATGTGCTAGACTGCAAAGTCGGTTTGAACCTCAAGGTCAGTGGTTCAAGCTCACCAGTCACTTCTCAGAAACCCTATACCAGGTCACTATGAGTTGGAACGGACTTGATGGCACTTAACAAGAACTATATATATATATATGAAGGTATTTATTAAACCATTGTTTATAATAACAAAAAGGGGAAAAGAAAGCCATTAAGTAACTGAATAAACTGTGTTGTGAACAAATTATGGAATTCAATTGGCACTGTAGGAACAACACTGGACTGTGAACCACAAGGTCGGCAGTCCAAACCCACCAGCTGTTCCTCAGAAACCCTACACAGGTTTGTTATTAGCCAGAACCGACTCAACTTATTACAGGCATTATATAGACAACAGCAATGATCAAATCAATTGTTACGGGGTGAAAGGGATGTCCACAATCTATTAGTAAGATAGAAACAAATTACACTACAAGGTGTATTATTTGAAACGGTTTTTGTGTTTGTTTGGTTGGATTTTGTATACAAGTCAGCCCCTCTCAAACATCATGTTTGTTTTGGGTAGACTGAGCATTAAAGAAAGAGGCAGAAGAGTAGTCACACTGGTCATCTTGAGGAGAAGGCAGAGGTGCGTGTAACAGATGATTCATGTTTTATTTATGCGTCTTTGAACGTTTTGCTCATTATAATACATACATATTGCTTAAAAAAATAAGCAAATCCCCCAAACTATACACATAAGTGCGGAAAGAATCCGCAGATAACCCTCTCAGGCTACTGTTAGCCTCACTTCATCTCCAACAGGTCCACTGGCAACAGAAACACTCTGACTTCAGAGGGCCAATTAATCAGCACAGCAAAGAGAAGCTCCGCGCCATCTCTCAAAGCCCTTGGCTGCCATGACCATCCTCCGAGAGAGCTGACACCAAATTGGCAAAGTCCTGAGCCAGAAAGTAATGTTTGTGCATAGCTCCAAGGGAAGGTCTCTGAATCCAGGAAGGAGCTGGGCTTCCTGTAAGCTGAGGGGTGACTCCCTTTCTCCACAAGGACCTCGTGACTATAAAGAAACCATGCAAAGCCCATTGATCACAAAACAAGGCAGCAAACAGAAGGGATGGGCAGGCAGCCTTCCAGGCCCTGAACCAACCATTTGGAAAGTCAGCCTTGTCCTCATGGACTTATTTGACCAGTCTTGACTCCAAGTTCCTAAATGAAATGTGATAGACCCATGAACACAGATGACTGGCTGGGAGAGTGGCGACGCCCGGAGTTAGACAACGTAAGACCGGAGTTAGCATTATCTGCAGTCCTACCTGTGGCCAGCTGCGCCAAACAACTGTCACCACCAACTTCCATTAGTGTGCGAACACTTTCTTTCTATGAGGATAGCAAAGGTCTCTACCCTAGATTCCTAGATACTCATGACTCGTCCAGCCAGGAGAAGGGAGGTTGACTTACCAAGCCAGCTTCTATTTAAGTACACAGACACAAACACGGGAGGCACCGTGAAGAAATCTACCACAGAGTTCACTTCCAACCAGAACCACAGCTTATCATTGGCTGCAATAAACTGGGGAAAGAAGAAAGAAGAGAAGTATATTAGACGCATGCTGTCAATATTGAATCTATACTCTTCCCCAAAGGGTACGTTTTGGTTTTTTTCCTGGGAGTGTGGAAGAAGATATTGCAGTTCTTGTATCTATTCTAATCATTTGCTATTTTTATCTTAGAATTCTTTTTTGAAAACATACTATATGATGTGCTAGCCTTAGCGATAGAATTGGCAGTATGTTTTCCTGTGGTTTTCAACAGCATCTTAAGGACGGAGAGTGATCTTACTTTCACTGGACTCTCTAATGTAAACGTAATTATAAATAAAGCATGTGTGCAAACATTCTCACCCACACAAATCCATGTAAATCTGCATAGCTCTCTTCTTTAAGAGAGTCTCATATAATTTCAAAACCCCAAAGTCTTATCTCCTTCAGTGCTTGGCTAAGTTTGGCACTACAAAACCTAATTTTAAGAGTCGAAGTATTTTTTACCTACTTATTTTTTAAAGAAAAAATGTATTTATGACTGAACAGTGGACTGAGCCACAGTCTGCCAGAGGGCATTAAGAGTCATTTGGACCTCTATTTTCATCCCTGAAATAAAATTAACATGTATTCCAAAAAATGTTCAGCTAAGAAAAGGGCTCTCTTGCTAAAAGACTGAAGATCAGAATGCGAGCACGTTTCCTTTCCTAGAAAACCTGGGCTTCAGATATTTGTGGGGGCGGATCCCTAGACCCCAGAGTTCACTGCTCCCCATCCCGCCACTGGGTAATGTTGCTCAAACTCACCCGCAAGCCAAAGTAGAGAAGAAAGAACACGTTGAAAGCCATGTCGATCTGTAATGTGAAATCTTTGTAGAAATTCTGGCAGGATTCGATTGGGCTGTTGGACGGGAAGAAGAAAAAGCAAGAGGTAAATGAAAAGCATCGTTCAAGTTTTCACAATGCTGGGATGTGATGGTGCCTGGAGTAGAGGACAAAATAAATGCTCATAAAATTAAACATTTGGGCTTTCTTCCCCACCCCTCCCCGTGATCATCAAGCAAGCATTGCCAAGGAGGTCTTTCCATTGAACCATTCAGACTTCAATCTTTTTGTTGTTTTTCTTAATCATATGAATATTGTTTTTATCATCATTCATCAGGTGAGCTAAGAATCTAAAGAGGATCATGCAGACACTCTGGAAGAAGGACCAGCAGAAGAGACTGCCAAATTCCTTCGTTTCATATTAACCCTTAAAGAACTGACTTCTCTCCTCATACACAGCCCTTCGTAGCCTTCAGACCATTGGAAGTGGAGTCATTGTTCAAGTAAGCACAGGGGTTCTGTTTTGGACTTCCAAATTTATAAATTTATAAATAATTTATATAAATGAAGGATCCAGGAGTATCTCAAGGAAGCTGTGCAGGAGAGGATCCTGGTGGATGTACAGCCCTCGGGTCTGGGGAAAAGTACAGCCCAAATGGTAAGATTCTAGACCATAAAACAAAACATTGAAGAATCTGATGCAGTGCTCTAAGGGTTAATTCTTTTTTTTTTTTTTGGCATGCAGGTTAATTGCCTTTGTGTGTGTCAAGCAGCCAGTGCAACCCCCCAGCACACTCTACTTTGCTTAAGAGTAGGCAGTTCAAAAGGGTACGCTATACAAACTGGTACGTGGCTTCCGTGTACTTTCCCGCATCTATACTGGTCAGAGGACCAGTGTGTGAAAAGTCCCAAGGTTTGGGCTCAGTGGGAAGCAAGAAAGCCTCGGAAGCATCTCAAAGTTGTGAATGGAAATTCATAGTACCCTGTTATCAGTACGCAGGTGGGGACACCCAGGCCAGCAACAGGAAGAACCGTGGGGCTTGGGGACTGGGAGAGGCAAGGAGTGTGGGGAGAAGCAAAACCTTTTCCTAAACAGGAAGCAAGAGGGAGCAAACTTGAGAAGTGCAGATGGAGGATTTCCCATTATCATCGCCACTTGGGAAATCTCTGACGTCAATACCAGTTAGTATAGTTGTACTTCCATTAGGACAATGCTGGGTTGGCCAACACGCAGGGGTCTGCAGAGTTCAGGGAGGGGGACCCCTTTCGAGATATGACAAGTCCACCTGTGGGGCATTCCAATCATGTGACATGCACTGAATTGATTCATTCTTCATCTCGAATACAAGTCAAACGTGCCCTTTGTCATCTTCCAAGTCACAAATACTCAGAAGCCCCCTGCTCCCCAAGCAAGCAGTGACAGTAACTACGTACATGTGCACACTAAGCGGACTGAACAAAAAACACTGAAAAACAGGTCTTTTACCAAAGAAATGGCAACTGCCAGGTGTTCACCAAGACAGAGAAAGGAGGGGACAGACACCATGGAATCTGGTTAGCTGGCGTGCCCATTACTGCTGTCCTATGCTCCTACACAGGTACTAATTAGAGGTTTTTAAAAAGGAAAAGCGAAGCTTACAGTGAAAAAGTGACATGTGTACAATTCCCAGGCCTTTGTGGGGTTTGTTTCATATCAAGAACGAGACCCACAGACTAACACGGCGTCAGAATTCCTAGACACGCTATTTTGGTGAAAGGAACAAGACTAGGTTGACCAGAAATCTGCAGGCAGGCCTCAGGTTACAAACACTTGATGTAAGAAAGATTTGCCCTTTAATGCTATGTACATTTGCTGCCGCCACTTTGAAAGGACTGAGCCCAGCCCTACTCACAACAAATTCTGCCCTTGGTGCACACACAGCTTTTTAATCACTGAAAAGCCTTCAAGCCTTTTCTTGCACTCAAGTAAGGTTAAATTAGAACCACATGCACCTGTTCTGACTCACCTACAAATTCCACTTATTGAACAGATATGAACGGATCTCGTTCATAACCCAGGGCTGCCTTGTAGAGTCCAAGGCATGAGGAGACAAAGTATTCCTTTGCTTTAGGGACCACAGGTACCATATGCTACTAAGGCAGAAATGACGAATATTTTGAGAATCGATGAAGGTGGGGAGATTTGTAGATCAGTAATATACTCATGTATTGACAGACGCCAGCAGTGACTTAGTAATGCATTATGAATTAGTATTCATTAAGACTGAATCCAGTCAAGGAAACAGAGAAAAGCTTTAGTTAGTTTCCAAGTCTGTTAAGGAAAACCCTGTATTACTTCATCAATGTCAAACAGTTATTACTTTACTGTTAAAACAATTACTGGTATAGCTCACATATTTTTCACATATAATTATGTCCATGTAAATAACATGCACATGCATATACCTCCTGTATCCCTCACAGAAAACTAATGTGCAAGGAGTTATGTGGCTTGGGGAAAACACTTGTATAACAACGCATGTTATCTGTGTAAAAATGCAGTATTATAGGTTTAGTTGAGGGTCCGATAAATTCCCCAGCAGCATAATTTACTTCTCTACTATTTTTATGGAGTCCTGGTGTGGTGCTGTGGGTTAATGCGCCAGACTGCAAAGCTGTTTGAACTTCAGGGTCGGTGGTTCAAGCTCACCAGCTGCTCCTCGGAAAACCTATACAGGGTCACTAGGGGTCAGAACCGACTCGACGGCACTTCACAACAACAACTATTATTATAATATACTATTATTGCTATTATTAATTCTTGGCCTCTGTCGTTAATTTGTTGGTAACCTTGAAATACATCTAGCTGGGAAAGTTACATGCTAGACTGTGGTAGTGCATGAACCAGGTGGGAAAAGACATGGTAGCTCAATGTCCTTGCAGATGTTTTGGTTCAACATATATTAATATATGTTAAAATGGGGCATCAGGATTGGAGGAAGACTCATTAACAACATGCGATATGCAGATGATACAACCTTGCTTGTTGAAAGTGAAGAGGACTTAAAACCTTTACTGATGAAGAACGAAGAGCACAGCCTTCTATATGGATTGCATCTCAATGTGAAGAAAACAAAAATCCTCACCACTAGACTAGTAAACAACATTCTTATCAACGGAGAAAAGATTGAAGATGTCAAAGACTTCATTCTTCTTGGATCAACTATCAACACTCATGGAAGTCAAGAAAGCAGTCAAGAAATCAGACGACATATTGCATTAGGCAAATCTGCTGCAAAAGACCTTTTTAAAGTGTTGAAGAGCAAAGATGTCAGCTTGAGGACTAAGGTGCCCCTGACCCAAGCCATGGTATTTTCAATAACCTCATATGCATGTGAAAGCTGGACAGTGAATAAGGAAGACCATAGAAGAATTGATGCAGTTGAGTTATGATGTTGGAGGAGAATATTGAAAGTACCATGGGCTGCCAAAAGAACCAATAGATCCGTTTTGGAAGAAGTGCAGCCAGAGTGCTCCTTGGAGGCCAAGATAGCCAAACTTCGTCTCTCATACTTCAGACATATTGTCAGGAGGGAACAGTCGCTAGAGAAGGATATCATGTTTGGTAAGGTAGAGGGTCAGAGAAAAAGAGGAAGACCCCAACAAGTTGGATTGGCCAAGTGGCAGCATCAATAGACTCAAGTGTGGAAACAGTAGTGAGGTTGGTCCAGGATCGGGCAGTGTTTCGTTCTGCTCTGCATAGGGTCACTATGAGTCAGTACCGACTCGATGGCACCTAACAACAACAACAACATATTAAAACTGAAGCTCAAAATAGCGTAAGGATCCATGTTTTGTCAGTTTCTTTCCGTTGTTCTCTGCCTTCTCTGTCACTTGGTGCCCCTTCCTATGTTGTTCTTATCCCACAATGATGAGGGGGCCTGTAAGCTAGAGGACACTGTGTTGCAAACACACCCCAACAACAGCCCTGCTTTACAAAGCAGAGTGCTGAAACTGTAACAGTCCTGTTCTCTAGTACTTCTTTCAAAACCTTAGAACTGGTATAGTGAGCTTTTCATGTCATTAAGTCACAACCTTTAAGTTGAAATAATAAAGGAAGTAAATTATGATGCTGATGCTAATGGTGGTGAATTTTCCTCTGGCTGCAGTTCACTGACAGTAGAAACTCACATATAATATGAAGCTCTTGGGAGGAGAGCAGGAAATTGTAAAACAAGGACCAGAGTGTTCAGGGAGACAGTTCTCGATTCCTTTCCATTCTTTCTCGCTTGCCATGAGAGCCCCGGGAGAAATGTCCTGCCAGCTTTTCTCAAGTGGGAACAAAACCACTTATCAGGATCCCCTCTGAGATAAATCCCACAAGTGCCATAGTCTGTGGACTCACACAATCAGAGACCACAGAGCATAGATTCCAAAGCCCCATAATTTCATTCCGCAAATGGAAATGACCCATGGAGAAATTCACAGATCTTATAAAAATAGAAGATATAATTCAACAACAAAAGGACTGGCTATATCAATGAGGATTAATTCTAATTGTAGGATGGAGAGTGAAATACAAACTCCTATCCCTTATATTTAAAAAAAATCAGAACATTTCCTAGGTCTAGGTACAGAGTTTCCATAGCCAGAAAACATTTAAATTAAATTAAATTATTAAATTAAATTAATCCACAAAGGAACGTGACCCTGAATTTTATACACATAAAAAGGAGCTCTAGTAGTGTAGTGGTTACGAATCAGGCTGCTAACCTCAAAGTCGGCAGTTCGAAACTACCAGCTGTTCCACGTGAGAAAGATGAGGCTTTCTGCTCCTGTAAAGATTTACAGCCTCGGAAACCCTGTGCAAGGTCACTATGAGTCCGAATGGACTCCACGGTACGGTACTTAATAACAACAACAAATGGGAATTACCTGTTTGAGGAGACACACCCACATGAGATTGTTGTTAGCACCCATTGAGTTGCCCAGACTCGTGGTGACCCCAAACACAACAGGATCAACAGGGTTTTCACTGACTGTCGGAAGAATATCAGCAGGTGCGTCTTCCTAGTTCGTCTTAAGTCTAGAAGCTCT